TTCGGTTGCACAAGGGCTGGGTGGATGAGGTGGGTGCCTGACGCTCGTCCCCTCTCCCCGTCCCCAGCGTCCTCACCAAGTGGTACTCCAGGGTGGTCTTCCAGATGCCGCACCAGGAGATCACCGACAGCCTGCGGCTCTGCCTGACTGAAGCCCTGCAGCACTTCCACGAGGTACGGCCTAAGTCCCAAAAAGAAAACCTATCGAAAAAGCCTTCCCGTGGCTGAATTTCTCCTTAAATCAAGGGGAAAACGCCCCATAACTCGTGCGTGCGAGCGAGCAGACGTCCTCTGCAGCCTTTGGACCGGCTGGGGTGGTCGCAGCCACGCACGACCGGGGGGGCTCGGGCTCGCCCTTATCTCGGGTCCAAACCTGCCCGGAGGACTGGTTTGTGCTGGGAGGTGCCGCATCACGTCCCCGCTGGCCTCTTGTCCTGCATCCCCGGCGTGAGAAAAGCATCACCAAAGCAGTGCCAAGGACCCGCTCTTGGTATTTTCCCATCCCTGGAGGAAAACCCCCCCCTAAAAACTGGGAGTTTGGCGGCTACCGAATTCTTCCCTGTGGGCAGGATTAGTGCAAACGCTGCGTTTCTCTGCCCTCAAAACCCGTTTGGAAATGCATTGACCCCCCCCGTGCTCCACCAGTCAGTCCTGGGTTAAAAAAACCAGTGAGTTTTTGGCGTTTCTGCTTGCCCAGATGAACCACTACTTGCCCGTGAAGATCGCCGTGTACCGGGACGGCGTTTCGGACGGGCAGCTGGACATGGTGCTCAAGTACGAGATCCCGCAGATGCAGAAGTGCTTCGACACCTTCGAGAACTACCACCCCAGCGTGGTGGTGGTGGTGGTGCAGAAGCAGATCAGCACCAACTTCTACACCGTCGAGGCCGAGCAATTCGCGTCCCCTCCTCCCGGAACGGTCATCGACCACACGGTCACCAGCTCCGACCGGTGAGCGGCGGCTGCTTTCGGCTTTATTTTGTGGGGTGCAAAGAACCAACCCCACAAATAATGTGCAAAAAGAGGAAATTCTGTGCAAAAAAACCCCTTGGGTTGTGGTTTTTTTTTTGCCTTCCTTTCTCTCAGGCAGGACTTCTTCTTGCTGGCCCATTGCTCTCGCCAGGGCTGCAGCATCCCCACGCGCTACATCTGCGTCCTCAACACGGCCAACCTCAGCTACGAGCACCTGGAGAGGTAAGGGCAGGATTTACACAGCCTGGCCTGCAAGCATCCCCGAATCTGGGTTTTTTTAGGAGCATATTCATATTCATAGGTGAAACAGGCCCCTGGAGCTGGTGGGGAGGGTGGGAGGCGCCTGTGCGGGCGCTGGGATGAGCCTGGTCTTGTCAAATGGGAGGACTGGGCCCATCTCAGCCTCATCTCTGGACCAGAACTAATTGCGAGGGTGATAAAGGCGGCTCTGTGTGCGTGGGCAGCCGTGCAGGGGGAGCTGCTGCGGGTTCAAACGCGGCTCGGATGCTCCTTGGGTAATTAAACGCAATCAACCGCTCCTGACCTTTAACTCCTGCTATGGGGGAAGAAAACTCCCCTGTGATGTTTGGCCTCGGAGGCCAGCGCTGCCACAGGGAGCAGGATTTGTCCCCAGAACAGGGGTGCTGGGAGCACTGACTCCCCCTCTTCTCGTCCCCAGGTTGACTTTCAAGCTGTGTCACCTGTACTGGAACTGGCCAGGCACCGTCCGCGTCCCTGCACCCTGCAAATACGCCCACAAATTGGCTTTCCTCTCCGGGCAGGTCCTGCACCACGAGCCCAGCGCCCAGCTCCGTGACAAGCTCTTCTTCCTATAGCCGGTGCGCTGGCAACGGGGGGGAAAAAGGGGCTAATTTTGGGGTTTGGGACCCCCAGCCGCTCCCAAGACCACCCCCCTTGCAGGAAACCGTCCTGAAATGTGGGTTTTTTTAATTTAAATTACTTTTTGCGCATGGTTTCGTGGGTTTTCGTTGCTGTTTTCAAAGGATGCTCGGCCGGGCCTTTGATCCGCAGGCTCTCGGGATTCATCTCCATGGGAATGAACGCAGAGCACAACCCCACTGGGGCCGCCAGCCTCTGCCCGCTGGTTTCCAGTCCCAGTAAAAGGGTTGGAATTGATGAGCCCCACTGCTCCTGCAGCTCCTCCCTGCCCTTCGCAGGTGCTGGATGCAAAACCCAAAGATTTCTGGTGGTTTTTTGCCCCCTCAATCTCTTGCATTGCCCCCAGTTGATGATTTTCCTTTGCTTTTTCGAGCTCCTGTTTGACAAACCCAGCTCCGGTTTGGCTCGTTGTCCCGTGCTTAAAAAGTCACTGGGTTTTCAAGGAGAAGTCTTTTATTTTTTTTTTAATCTTTTGGTTCATATTTTAACTCTTGTCGGGTTGGTAGGCGAGCAGGTCAACGTCCTGAGAGAAAAAACACGTGTTTTGAGTTGTCAGATGTTTCTCTGAGCTGTTTTGAGACCTTTGAAGCTGTCAGTGCATCACCAAAATCCTCGGAATTTCACCTCAGTAATTCCTCGGAATTTCGCCTCCCTTTTAATACCAAAAAAAGAGTTGAAAATCTTTACTTTTTTTCTGCTGTAACTGTAGTTTCCAGTTAACATCAATAAAAGTGTTGCTGGCAGCCGCTCCCTCTTGCTGTGGGGTGATGGGGGAAGTTGTCCTGACCCCCTCAACCCCTTTTTCCCAAGGGGTCCCGGGATGGGAGGGGACAGGGATGGGGACACACAGCAGTGATCCGATGCTGCTAGCACATCGGGGTTAATCATTCACCGTCGCCCCTCTCCAGTAACAGCTTTTATCCCCTTTTATTTGCCGGCCCCGCGGACTTTGGCAGCATTCGCCCAGCCCGGGCGCGTTCCGGCACAGGGTGAAGCTTGGCCCCGAGCAGCTCAGGGGGGGAGCTGGGGCCAAAATGGGGGTGATGGCTCGGGGTAGCCA